TTCGTTCTCTCTCTCTCTCTCTCTCTCTCTCTCCCCCCCCCACTCTTTATGCCTGCAACATGATGAATTGCATTTCGACACCCTACAGCCCTGCGAACGATTGTCCTGTGAGACTGCCTCGTCATTCGACGTATTATTGCGCGCGTGAAACTGGCGCCTCGCCTCTCTTCCGCGTTATCGCGATCAAATGACGCCGATGAGCGATACTTGGTTCGTTCCTTCACGGCGAGGAAATCGATGACGCTGGCATCAGCAGTTTTTTAATGGAACGAAATAATGTGTTACCATAACCGTTATATAATAGAATGAAATTTGATCGAGTTTGAGTGAAATCGCAACGTAAGTCTGTTTTCTTCGTCTCGATAAGTGAAAATGCTGAAAATGTTTAGTGTAAATCTCAGCTATTTTGTGATGTGATATTTTACTATAACAATTTATAAACAATCCCATGGTACAAATTAAAAAAAAAAAAAAAAATTAGTCACATATTTTACTATATTTTTATTAGATATTTTATAACAAACTTTATACAACAAAATCTGAAACCTGAAGAATAAAAACGATTAAATATGAAAAGTGATGTCAATATTTTACTTTCATCATTTTTTTATGTTATCGTTCTATCTAACGGCGTTCTCGTTTACAACTTTATATAAAGTAATTTATCTTGCTACGGGAGATCTTGCGCAGGAGATTATAACTGTATCTCGCAGGTGAATGAAGGTAAGATGAGAAGGCTAGGCGGAGTAACATTGCGAACGGACAAAATATGATAAGCAGAAACGTAAACTTTGCCAACTTTCCAAGAGCTTTGGCAAATATATTCGATGCAATGTGCAGGTGACATCTGAAATCGCATCTTCCCGATTCTTCCTGCTGGCCTTCTCCTACCGGCATCAAAGAATATGCTAGATATTCCAAATAAAAACGGAGAAAACTTAAAGAAAAAAATTATGAAATTATGAATGTAGTCACTCCGCGTTGAATTGTAAATAGACAAAGGCGGACGAGTCGCGTGCCAGTCATTCGCGACTGTTCCCATCTTTATCTAGGATCGCGACGGCATTGAAACAGCTACGGACACACGTGTACACGCGTGTCACAGTACACCCTTAAATGATGAACAGATACGAGATTATTATTAAGGCACCATATATGAGAAATGAAGCGAAGCCTGAATCACAACGTGGTGCGCGTTTCTCGCGTGACTACCTGACGTCCAAACTTCTAATTACTGCGGTCCGATGAAAGCAGCGCCACACTTTTAACTTTATCGTAGCTTTCGATTACCTCTTTTAAGTCGACGCAGATTAAAAACGGCGAAGAAGTGCCTTTTATAAAAAAACCAAAGAAGCATTTTATTATTTACCTCAACATCGATACAAATTTCTTAATTAAACAAAAATACTATTTGAGTTAGTTATTTAATTATATGTATTTGTTTTTGTATGATTATTAACCTTTTCGCTGAAACAAATCACAGAATTATATCTCATCGCTGTGTCATTATCTGTTCATTCTTTCAAGAATTGAGATTATCGAGCAACATTGTTAACGCGGTGAAAGCCTCTTCTCTCTCATCACACACGCTCGTCGTATTTTATATGTGCGAAACTTCTATTAAAACGTGGGGGGGAAACGTTGTATGGTATCCGAGATTTCAGTGTACCTAACCATTTGATTGTCTCCGCACGTTACAACACGCGTCGTGTGTCGTAACAGCTTGCAGCAAAGTTTACCATGCGTATGCCGACAGCCGCGAGGCCGCTCGCAATATCGCAATCGCGACGTACAAACACTCACGCAGCGGCGCATACGCAGTGGCAGTAGTACGCTTATTCATGGTGTGCTAAAAAATTCATGGAAATATCAAAGTTTAAGTATCCGACAAAGATCTCGGGCGCAGACTGCGAGATCGACGCTGAAATATCCACGTTGCGTCGCGG